AAGAAGGAACCTTTGACCCAAATCAAATACATGATTCTAGAACGGAAAAAGTTCATCCTTTTACTAAAATAAGACAACAATTAAAACCAAACTAGATGTGAACAGCTAGCGGCAAGCAAACAAGAGCAAAGCCATGCACTAACCGGATTGATACTGCAATTGCGAGGCATCCGAAGAATACATATAATTCTGGCCACCCTCAACATACCCCATCTGCCTCGAGTAATCGAAACAGATCATCTCCGAACAAACCCGCCACTCTTCACCCCAACCAACCCGCGACGACGCTCGAAAGAACCCAAGACGTCCACCGACGGGGGGGGGGGCGACGACGAACAGTACGGCATTAACACCCCCTCACAACCCGAAGAAGCCCGACGAGGGCGGAGTTCCCCGCTTCAAAACCGACCCCCAGCGTAAGCTCCAAGAGCAGCCGCAGCAGGCGGCCCGCTTCGCGAGCCGCGCCTGGCCCGACGGCGAGGACCTCGACCGCCTTTTCTGGAACCAGTAGAAGCGTTTGGCCGTCCCGACGGAGCCGTACTTGCTCAAGAATCTTGCGGATCTTGAATCGTCTCGTCCTTGGCCGGCGATTTACCGGTGCCCGCTGTTGAAATGTTCTCGATGATTTGAATCTGCTTTCGTCGCGTTCGGGCGTCACGACCGAACCGGTTCGCCGAGCGGTCCCAGGCGCCGGTCGTCGCCGGGGTTCGGTCTTGGTCAATGGTTCATGCCAGATTGCCGAGCGAGTTGGCGAGTCAAGACGAGAGGCCAGGCTCCTCGGTGTTGCCTCGAGAGTCATACAGACAAATTAAAGCGGGAGGGGATGAAAACAAGGACCAGCACAACATGCGTATTGGTGAGAGAGGTATTTATAGGGGTTTGAGTGAGGACGAGAGCGAAATGTTATTGAGGTAAAATAGAATAGACAGAGGGGGGCGGGGGGCGGGGTAGATTTTGCTGGCTCTATGAAAGAATGTGAAAGTGGTCCCTTTTGTTTGCGTGCTATTAGTATGGGCCTTTGTTTGTGTACTAGTATGGGAATCTATGGATCAATATCAAGCGGTAACATTTTCCAGGTTTGGGCGTGACTTTGGTTTGATTTGGGTTTGTGCGTAAGTGTATATATTTTTTTGGGCAAGTTTCTAATCATTAGTTTCTTGTAACGCATGGGTCAATTGTTTTGGTGGTGGAACGCATCAATCAACATCTAGCCGCATATATCTACGCGTAGAATAATTTGGAGAGCTCCACCATGATTTTCACACCATTCTATTTTGAAAAGAAAAAAAAGAAGGTTTGGTACGTCTATTTTCTTAGCATAGTAAATTAGTGAGTATGATTTTGATTAAGTAGGTTGCATGAACAGATCAATATCTATTGACTAGAAAAGTAAATATAAAAGTATAATAAAAGAAGTAAGGAGGAAAACTAGATTAAAAAAAGTGAATTATAACAGTCTACATCTAAACGTTGGCTAATTAAGCTGTTGTGTATTGTAATTACATTAATTGACGTTGGTCACATGTATTGCATTGGTTAAAATGTAACCCCCATGAAGAAGGGAAGTGAGCAAGTGCGTTATTATCTATTAATATCCACTTGCAAAAGCATGCATGTTGAGCTTCCTTTCTATAGGCTTCCAAGTGGGGATCTCACCGGTATCAAATTTTAAAAAAATTGCTTTAAATTTGTGACTGATGAGATTTAAATCGGAGTTGTCCCGATGCCATCTTATAATCCCTATAACCATTACATTAAAACTCAAAAGTTATGGTGAAAGTTGATGATTATATTTTTATATTCCAACACACCCCCTCATGTAGGTTAAGCTCCCTTTTTATAGGTCGAAACCTAAGTCTCACCAATGATGTTAATTTTTAGATAATCCGCTTTAAATTTGTGCATGGCTGATGGACTTCAACTTGGGTTGCTCTGGTATCATCATACAGCCCCTCTAACCATTAGAGCAAAACTTTAAAGTTCTAACAAAAGTTGAGGATTATATTCTTTTCTTTTCTTTCTTTTTCTTTTTTAGGAATTATATTCTTATATTATAACAACTTCAAACTAATGTTCTCTCTTTCTCTAGGATTTGCTCAAGTCACTGTTCATTAATCTAGTCATGGACTAATTAATTAAGGCATTAACTTTTTGAAAAGAACATCTTTATATATTTAGAAAAATGTACATCTTCTTGATCTTCTAAGTTTACTTGCATAATCTCTATTAAAACTAATTGACCAATGATTTAACTTAAGAGAGATCTTAACTCATAGAGAGTCGATAGAGTTGTTCCCATATGTACATACGAATAAATATTTTTTTCCTTTATGAAAAAGGGGGGTTAGCAGAACATAGAAGATGTTTACGCGGTAAATATATCCCATGATATCTAGATGTACACAAAAAGATACTGTCATAAAAACTAATATTCATATAAAAACCACCTTCAAAGTTCATTTTATATAGAAACCACCTTGAAAGGGGTTGAGGTTGTAGTCAACTACCTTGACCTATTTTCTAATAAAATTTTAACTAATATTTCAAAATACCCTTAAATATATGTGTCAAACACTAGTTTTGATTAAGAAGCCATTGTTACTTGCTTGACACCTGTATTTTTTAAAGGTATTTTAAAAAAAATTGGTCAAATTTCATATTTGAAAGTTTTAGTCAAAATTTTATCAAATTTTAGTCAAATTTTTACCAAATTTTAGTCAAATTTTATCAGAAAATAAGTCAAGATGGTTAATTTCAATCGGAATCCATTTTAAAGGTGGTTCTTTATGGATTCAACTTTGAATGTGTTTTTCGTATAGTCGTCTTATTTTAAATGTGGTTTATGCATGTTGGGAGAGTGGTTTTTTTTTTTTTTTTGGAGGGGGGGG